TATTTCTAGGACATCATTTAATAACTTAAGCTTTTGGATTGAAATGGTTCTTTGACATGATATTAGAGTTTTGTTGACTAAGTGGTAACGAGTTTCAAATCTCACCACCTTTATTTTTCTTATAATTAATTGAGCACAAAGTAGTGTATGCCTATGCAAGTTTCAAGGTCAAAAGATTTTCACTTGAAGAGGTATGTTAGAGAATCATATAAAATCTTTTTTAAAGACTCACCTACCAGTTTAAACTTTTAGATTAACATAGTTCTTTGACAAAAACTCAATCTAGTTTCACTTATGTCGGAATATAGATAAAACATTAGCTCGATCCGATATTTTTATTATTTTTTAATTTTTTTCTTAATATATATAATTATCCAACATTTACTTGTTAACTAAATTTTACTTTATAAAAAATAAAACTTATGTGTCTTTAATTTTTTAATCTATATAATCGTTATTACAATATTATATTGCAAACTTTGTAACATTCAATCTAAGTTTGTAACTTTACATCATAATTGAAGATTAATTTATATTTATTAGCCTATGATAATAATGATGATTAATTAAGAACATGCAAAATTAGTGTGTTAGTATAATCAATAATTTTTCCACAAAAAAGAACAGTTTCACAAATCAATAAAATAATTTTAAAGTATTTTAATAAAATGTAATTTTAATTTAATATGCATTTTATAATTATCAAGATCTTAAAAATTATTTTTTCTCATCTAAAATTAAACAAACTATTATTTTGATTATAACTTTATTCAGTTAAGCTATGCATATAAAATTTATTTTAATTAATTCTTATCCATAATTCTTAATTTTAACCGTCATTATATATGTGCCTTGTTTGTTTAATTTTTTTATTGAAAAATTAAGATAAATTGTTTTCTAAATGAAATAAAAATAAGCAATAGATGTTTAAAATATTTTAATAATCTTTTTCCGAAAAAAGAAGAAGAAAATAGCGCAGCGTCCTAGGTCCAGGGCCCCTCAATCCACTGCCTGGGCCCAAGCTCAGTTATGACTGACGAAACCCAAAAAAAAAAAAAAAAAAAAAAAAAAAAAAAAAAAGAAGGTAAATTCCAGCAACCGAACGGCGGGTGATGCGCCAGTCTCCTTCCTCGAATAATCGAAATCTAGGAATCTCGTCGGATTCCAGCAAATACCACCTGCCACCACCAACATCTATTTTTGCTCTTTCGATTTTTCCTATAGAGCACATCCACGTGCTTCCTAGAGGCCCCTAAACTCAAATCCAATCTTAAATATCATTTTCCAGCAACTATTCAACAAAAAATTTCAATTTCATACTTTTAAATCTAAAATTTTCAAATCACATCTCTTAATTTTGGAAATAAAATTGTCTGAATTAGATGTTTATAAAGTTTGTTGTGATGAGATTTTTTATTTAATGGTGTTTAAACCAATATAGGCAAGTGTTTGGATAGGGTGGAAAGCTAGGGAGAGAAGAAAATTAGGAAGGAAAGAAAAGTTTCGTCCGTTTGGTTTTCAAAGAAAACCTGTGCAATAAAAAAATAAAAAATAAACAAAGTTAAAGATGGTGGGACCCATTTTTCTCTCAAAATTGGGAGAAAAGTGGGAGACAATCACGGAAAAACATGATAAAAAATAAAGAATATAGAATATTGTCATTTTTGCCCTCATCTTCTATACCTTATCTCGTTTGGTTTATCCTCTTCATTTCTACTCGTCCTTCTCTCTCTGTAGTAACAATACTCTCCATTTCTACCGATCTGCACATCCAAGATTACCGACTTTATAGGTAATTTAACATTGATTTGTTTTGGGTTTTATATGTATACGAATCCTTTTATTTCTCTATTTGCTTATTTTTCTTGTCTTATCATCCCCTCATTGTCCATTTTCGATCCGCACGTCCAATAAATTTTGACCGGGGAATGGGCATTTTTTGATCTCTTCCCCGCATCAAAATAGCCAATTCTTCTCCTTGATAGCTTTCGTTTTCTATGCCTAACGCTTTAATCATTCTTCTTCTATGTTCTTGTCTTTTCTTTTGCCTTGCTCTCCTCCGAATTGTACGATTGCCCTTCGATTTGTGCTTATTATTTGTTATTTTCTTTAATCTATTTGCTTAGATTGGTGTCATTTTTCCATTTCCTTTTACGTGCCACCTCTGCTTCGTTTTCGATTGTGGGTCTCCGCCTTCGGTATGCGCTTTGTTTTTTTCTCTCTTCTTCATCCTCTTTCTCTAGTTGGGTCAATGGCTATCGTCCGGGTTGGAGTCGTGTTGTTTCTTTTCTATCTCAAGTTCACATCTTTTGTGTGTTGAATTGATCTTCCTACTTAGAATAATGATATCTTAATTGTCTTCTTTGTGGGGGTATCTTGTGCCTATTTAATGCATGCGGATATATAGTTTCCGTTCGTACATGTTATAAAATTTGGAGGAGACAGTTCTAACTTCCATAAACTTGGTAGATAATATCTATAGGCAATGGAGCTTAATTACTTATATAAGTCGATCTCCTGTTGAATTTCATTCTCTTTTATTTATGAAATAAAATCTTTTCATTAAAAAAACATGACAGGATATTTCTTGATCTCAAGGCATTTACTACTATTTGCTAATCTTTTATCTATTTATAGCTGGGCTTTTGATTCAAGACATTTATGTCCCGATTGTTTAACTAAGAAGCTCATCTATTTAATATCTTCTTAATAGCGTTGAATCCTTGTAGCAATGTTGTATGCCCAACTTCCGTATCTCGCGTTCAACAATGGAACAATTTCACCCATTTTTGATGGATTGATAACTTCACCAAAAACGAAGTTAGAAATTTATATTTTCCTAGAACTTAATTCGAAGCCTTAGTTGGAAGCTAAGTATGATGAAGTGGAAAGCCAACAACCACAATGATGATGCATGGAGTCGGAGTGGGTGCATAGTTGTGGAATTATGTGTAGTGTGCTTTTGTTGCATTGTTGTATTAATCCGATACTTGTTCTAATATTGCATAATAAGAGCATTAACAAGACAATTCTTTGGGTTGCCTCGTCATAGTAAGGGGCAATGAAATACTAGAAGAAGGGAACTTCATTGCACAAAAGTCATTGATCATTTTAGAGAGAGGACGTCAAAATTTTTTTCATGAGGATGAGATATTCATTGAGCTTGAAGCGATAGGATTGCAATCTAGCTTCCAAATGAGTGCATATCGCTTTTTGGTCGATAATCCATCACTTGCAAAAAAATTCTTTGGGTTGCCTCGTCATAGAAGACTTGAATTTCTAACATAGCCGATGGTCGAAAGAAGTGGTTGATGAAAGTAAGTTAATCATACACAAGTTGGAGTATAATTTATTACTTTATCAATTGTTTCAAATTTATTGAACTTACAAACTGTTACCATATTGTTGCTCAATGTACACTTCGCTTCCTTGTTGCTTTTTTTAAAATTTTTTTATAGCTATGCTACTTGTGTGCACAATCAAATGGTGAAGTAGAATGTAAGGCAACTTAGCAAAAGTACTACTTGATTTTTTGTTGTATTGTGATCTTCAAGAGTATTTAGCGGCTATTATATGTGGATGTTATCTTAAATTATAATGACTTAACTAGAAACTCATTTAACTTGATTATGGAAGCATAACAAATTGATGCTAAGACTTTCATAATTATCCGTAATGTGTATGTACAAATTGATCCTAAAACTTTCTTAATTATATGTAGTTCATAGTTTTATTATTTAGAACTCTTTTTTATGGATTGCTAAATAGTAATTTTTTAATCCAAAATAAAAAAAATTAAGAAAATGATGGGTAAAAGCAACTAACTTATTATATGTGTAGATAATAATACACGTTATACATATTTAAATTAATTTTATGTTGATAATTAATCTAAATTGGCTATTGAATTAATTAATTAGTAAACGAGTTATTGATTATTCTATGGAGACGATTCATTAACCATCTTGTCATTTCGGATAGATGCTACATGCTAGATTTTTATTTTATTATCATTGGTGCAATTTTAAAGAAAAAATATTCATAAAAATTTATTTATACAAATTTATTATAAGTATTTAAATATAGAAATGTAATTATAGGGGTATTACGGTAAATATACAATAATACATTTTCTTTCTTCCCTTTTTCTACAATTGTACAAACAAGAAAAATATATTTTCTTTTCTTTCATTTCTACTCTTATTCAAACAACAAGTAGAACATATTTCTCTTTCTTCTCACTTTTTTTTCTTCTTGTTTTCTTTATTTTATTTTTTTCTCGCCGAGAAGAAATATCCAAACACAATGATAGTGGCCGGATTTCCCGCATCTATTCTTGGTGAAAATGATTGTTGGCGTATTTCTTTTTTTTTTTTTTTAATGAATTAAGGGTAATAAAGTAATTGAATTTCAACACCCATTCGGAAAATACCGAGTGTTCGAGCACCCACCATAATGTAAATCACATTGAAAATTGAAATTATTTTGCCACGTGTAGGGTACGGAGAGGCAAAAGCATTGATCTTCCTAACATAGTGCGGTAGGGGTGAGCAAACGGTTCGGTTAATCGAAAATCGAATAAAACCGAACCGAATTATGAAATTTAGTTCGGTTTTAAATGTAAAATTATACAACATAAAATTGAACCGAAAAAACTGAAATTATTTCGGTTTGGTTTGGTTTTTAGAAAAAAATTTTCGGTTTCGATCGAAAACCGAAATAAATAGTAAAAAATTTCCTAATTTCTAAATCCTTAACTTTTCAATCTTCATTCTTGCTGAAGCCGAAACACTTAGTCATGACTCTCCGGTTCTCGTTCTTTCTTCCACTTTTCCCTAACCTCATTCGGCTTCATTCTTCTGTTCTCCGGTCTCCACTCTCCAGTTCTCCTTCGATTCTTATGTCCCTCATTCCCTCCAAGCTCCTCTACCGATGGAGAATTCACGGTCTACTTGACGTCGTCTAAGGAACTTCTCTACTTCTTCCGCTGCAAAAACCAAATGATTCGAGTCAAACCCGACTTGACAACAAACCCAACGACATCCACGGTGGCTTCGCCGGCTTCTACGGATGGCACATATGCGTTGGTGGAGGAGATGTTGAAGTTGCGGGGATGTAGGGACCATTGAGAGTTTTGTTTGCTATTAAAGAAGAGGATGGGGAGGAGCTGGAGGTAATCGAGAATGACACATCGTCTATAGAGAACGAGCTTGTTAAAAGTAAGAAGAGAAAAATGAGCAATAATGATGTTTGTTTTGAAAAGGTAGCTGTTGCTAATGATGTGGTTATCGATGTTGAGGTTGATGGTGTAACGACGTCGTTACGAAAACCGTGTGCATCTCCTCGGTATTATTATATTCCTTCACCTTCTCCTTCTCGTGATGAAAATCGAGTCATGCAAAAATTCAAAGACCGATAATGAAGACGAGTGTCGTTTTAGGCGATTCTAGTGAGAATAAGATGTCCTTTGTTACCATAGAAATTCATAGTTAGTATTTTGAACCACAAAAAAAAAAGGGAGAAAATGTTACCGTACGGTTGTTGGAGTAATTAATATAAAATAGTTTTTGTCGGTATTACATTACAGCGACTCTTTTTATTTATGTGTATTTTATTCTTGAGGTGTAGCAAATGCTTCGATCTTGCCATGTTAGCGAAGGCAAATAAAATGGGAAGGCAATATGACGTGGCAAGATTAGAGAGGATGCTTGGACAACATTGTTGTTACTTGCACTTTCTACTTGGACGACGAGATGGAGGAGGTCGAGATGTTGGTGAATTTAGTGCTCGTTTAATTTTTGTGGTACTAAATGCCTAAATGGGTTGTAAAGCAAAAGATGGGAATTAAATTTTGAAGACCGTTGGTGTAAGAAAAGAAAGTGACAGAGTGTAATTAATTAGGATACGGTGTGTTTGAATGACAAAATCAATTACACTTGGATCGGTTTTCATTAAAGCCTAGTTAAAATCTTCAAGGGCTTTGTGATTGTCTATAAAAAGGATTAATTGATAACAAGATGTTACTTCATTGGTTAGTGGACTAAGTGCTAGTACAAAACATCTCTCCGTAATGATTTTTTTTACAGCAAAATATTTCGGTTAAAATCGAAATATTTCGAAACCAAACCGAATAATTTGGTTACCAACCGAATTTATCAAATTTATTTCGGTTCGATTTTGGTTTTTATTTTTCTTAATTCGGTTAACCAAAAACCGAACCGAATCATACAAAACCGAACCGTTTAACCGAATGATCACCCCTACAGGTGCAGTCCTTGTAGAAGCTCCTCGGGTTTTTAATTTATGACATTTGTTATATCTTTAGGAGTAACTACAAACCGAGTCCCCAAATTATATACTTACTAACACATCATTCCCCAAACATTTAAATCCTGCAAATTTCTCCCCAATATTTCTTTTGCTTAACCTATTCATCCATAATTCAATTTACTTTACCATAAAATTATAAAAAAGTGGTTGAAAAACTTGGAATAAAATTACTTTTACAAATAACATTATAATATCATATTCCAAGTATAAAACTAAAAAAAGGGTATAAATTAACAAAAATTTCTTTGTTAATTCGCAAAATTAATTACATCTACTTCATATTGTTCTATTTCAATAGTTCCATCTTTATATATATATATATATATATATATATATATATAGTAGTCATCCTTTCTTGTCAAGTCAATTAAATAATATACAACTTCATGTCTCTACACTATAAATTTATCTTTATAACAAACTTGATCTAATATCATATTTTATTGAACATAAATTTATACCTGCATATTTTTTTATTAACCTATTTTATAGCATTTTTCAATATTTAATAATTTTTTGAATTATAATAAAATACTTTATTTTTAAAATACGGATAATTTCATATAAAATTTGATAAGTTATCTGTTTGTTTGATTTTTTTTTAAATCAGCAACATAAATTAGAATTATTTTTTAGTATTTAATTATTAATAATTAAGATCTGACTTGTATCGTTTATACTAATAGAAGGTGAAACTTATGGCAAACAAAAGGTTGATTCAGCATAACAAAAACAGATAAAAAGATTTGAAACAAAAATAACATTTGATTCGTTGATCTCAAAAAAAAAAAAAAAAAAAAGAAGGAAGAATAAGAAGAAGAAGAAAAGCAAAAGCAAAGTTCTGTCGTTGAGTGATAAAGGGAAATTAATGAAAAATTAGGATAAGAATTTCATGAAATAACAACCATTAAAAAAGTTATTTAAAAGTGTGTAATTAGAAATTGAAATAATATTAAGGTAATAAATTATTAGAGTTTTGATTGTCAAAAGTTTGATTAAGGTGAAATGTCGGTTATGAGTGATTCAAGAACATATTTTATGTTTTAAAAGCTTTTAAGTGGTGTGTAAATAATAATAATAAAAAAAATAATGAAAAGACAAGATTGACCTTTTTTGTGGAATTCAATAATTTGTTAAAACTTATTTTTCTTAATTAGAGATAGGTTTAGATTTATATATTAGTATAGAGGTATGTTATAATGTTAATATTGTATTAAGAATAAATAGTCAATCAAAAGTTTTTAAAAAATTGTGCTTCTATGCATAGTTATGGATTACATAATCATAATATATTAAAATTACATGTAAAAAAAATATATTCAAATATATATGAAGAAGTGAAAATTAAGAAAAGCAAAGCAAATGTTACCTATTAATTGTCAATTTAACAAGATAAAAATGTTTAATTTACCTTTTCCCAAGTCATGTACTTTAAAATATAATCGCATAGCATTTTTATCATAATAGATGGTTTAAGAAATTTAATTTATGTTAAGGAAATTGATGGGGATCAAATCCTACTCATTGTTCCTAATTCTAGTTGGTGACTTCGCCACCATTTAAGAAGATAAAGATCGAGAGTCAGCTCAGGGGCGACCTTGTTAAGCCGTGCATGAAATAATTCAAATGAAAGCGAAAAAGAATATAACAAGTGATGCCCATTCCTTTGGATCCTCCGAAGTATACCTCTAATCCTGCAACTTCTTGATTATCGTTGTCTTCATTTGCATTACGTCATTATATAGTTTGAGACGAGATGAGAATCATTAAAATCATTACTATATCATTAATATAATTAGTTTAAAATTATTAATTTTTAGTTGAAAAAATATAAAATTGAAAAGTTTATCTTATCATCACATCCAAGTAACCATGATCAAAGCTTGTACATTTTCTAGCAAAAGAGAGGCTCACCGTTTAGTTAAAAATCTACCTCCTATGTTAAAATTTGATTTTGAAGCAATATCATTTTATTGGAATGTTTAGCCTCCTTCCACCGATACATTTAAACACAATATGAAAAGATTAAGATATCCACTTTAATTTTCAAGATGCCATCTTTTTACGTTATAAAGTTCTAAAGTTGTGAAATTCTTATTTCTTCCTCTAAAGATTAATTTGTTAGCATTGAAATTTTATCCACATTAACACACTTTTGCTCATCATAAAATTAACTTAATTCATTATATTTAACCTAAAATCACATCTAAAAGATTAAATATAAGAGAATAAATATAATCAATAGTGCTCATTATCAAATTTTTTCACACTTAGCTTTTGCACGATCTTGGGTAAAATACTAAACAAGGACTCAATACCGACTTTTCAATGATATCAAGATGCATTCGCAAACAAGAAAACAATCAAAATTCTCAAGAATCATGACACATCATGAATCAACATTATTGACAACTCAAGAATTAGTCAAAACAACAAGTTTCATTCAAATCGAGTAAACTAAATTGGTTGACCCTCATAGATTAAATGCTATAACTCTCAAGTATTTAGAATAATTCTTTCTCTCTTCAAGTTCATTCCATTAAAATATACTACCATAATCTTGTTTATCATCTAATCCCACTACTTACACTACAAGACGCAAATTAGTGTTGAAAATTAGGGACAAAAACAGTGATGGTTTTGCGATAGAATGGTGAACAACAAGTGTAGAAATGAAATTACAATGGAAAATTGTCTGTCGGATGGAGTTACGTCGCTAATTAGTATGAGAAACATATGCACCTAATCTAGCGACATAATAGCGATGTATTTGTGCAGGAAATTAGCAACGCGATAACAATTCCATCGCTAATTCCCATTTATGAAAATCTCGGAAAATGAAGCGAGTAGTTTGAAATTCAAATTATCGAAAAAAACGTAAATCCCTCATTAATTAGTGATGGATTAGCAATGGAATCACGCATTCCCTCACTAAAGTCACTACTTTCCCCCATTTCTGAAAATTTTAAAAAATAAAGAGATGGATTTAAATTCATATTCACGATGAATACTTAAATCCCTCACTAATTAGCGATGGATTAAACGCTATAACTCTCAAGTATTTAGAATAATTCTTTCTCTCTTCAAGTTCATTCCATTAAAACATACTACCATAAGCATGTTTATCATCGTCGAAAATTAGTGATGAAAACAATGATGGTTTTGTGATAGAATGGTGACCAACAAGTGTAAAAATGAAATTACGATGGAAAAGTAGCGATGGATGGAGTTCGTCACTAATTAGCACGAGAAAAATACGCACCTAATCTAGCAACATAATAGCGATGTATTTGTGCGGGAAATTAGCAACGCAACAACAATTCCATCGCTAATTCCCATTTCGAAAATCTCAAAAAATGAAGCGAGTAGTTTGAAATTCAAATTAGCGATAGAAACATAAATCCCTCACTAATTAGTGATGGATTAGCAATGGAATCACGCATTCCCTCACTAAAGTCACTACTTTCCCCCATTTCTGAAAATTTTAAAAATAAAACGATGGATTTAAATTCATATTCACGATGGATACTTAAATCTCTCACTAATTAGCGATGGATTAAACGCTATAACTCTCAAGTATTTAGAAGAATTCTTTCTCTCTTCAAGTTCATTCCATTAAAATATACTAACATAAGCTTGTTTATCATCTAATCCCACTACTTACACTATAAGACGCAGATTAGCGTAAAAAATTAGCAACGAAAACAATGATGATTTTGTGATAGAATGGTGACCAACAAGTGTAGAAATGAAATTACGATGGAAAATTAGCAACGGATGGAGTTCTATCGCTAATTAGCACGAGAAACATACGCACCTAATTTAGTGACATAATAGCGATGTATTTGTGCAAGAAATTAGTAATGCGATAACAATTCCATCGCTAATTCCCATTTCGAAAATCTCGGAAAATGAAGCGATAGTTTGAAATTCAAAAAACCTAAATCCCTCACTAATTAGTGATGGATTAGCAACGGAATCACGCGTTCCCTCACTAAAGTCACTACTTTCCCCCATTTCTGAAAATTTTAAAAAATAAAGCGATGGATTTAAATTCATATTCACGATGGATACTTAAATCCCTCACTAATTAGCGATGGATTAGTGATGGAATCGCATTCGTCTCTAATTCTTAATCCCTAAATTGATAGAAACTCTTTTTCTTCCTTATTTTCTTTTTCCTCTTCCCTCTCCTCCTCTCCTCCCCTTGCTATGATTGTCCGCCCGACCCCAAAATCACCAATTAAGGTAAAGAAACTCCCTTCCTAGCATACTCTAACCAACGTAACATCCCTCTCTTCCTAGAAAGCTAAGAGTTTGACCTGTTCAATCCTCTCCTCTACTTTCTCCCATTGTTAGTTCTCTCTCTCTCACTCACTCATTTTTTTTTTTTTGCATACCCATTAGAAATTTGTGTTAAGTGTTAGGTTAGTTTTGATTAATTAGTTAATTATTTGCTTTTGTTAGTAATTATGATTTTTTTTGTTA